ACATGCAACAAGCAAATTGGTAGAATCAATTAATTATAATGTATATGAATTAATCACAGATTTAAGTTATAAATTTTTTAGAAGAAATGTTATCTCTTTTTATCAACTATTAAACAATTACTTGAGTGCGAATTTTTATATTTTTAATATATTTTATAAAAAAACTGAAGAACTATGTTATATTAATAAATAAGAGAGATTTTACACTGTTATGTGTGTATTATCTATGTTCTGCAGATATTCTGGATACAAATTTGAAGTTAAACATCAGGAACGCGCGGATTTCAGGTTTTGACAGCTCAAGTACAAGCTATTAATTGGTCTGGCATCGTCCTTTACTGTCCTCTGCAGTGCAGAACCAGATAATCGTCATAAATATGCACGGTTAAATTACCATAAATCAACGAAAATATTTGCTTCTCTTATTGTTTATCATGGAAATTTAATAGAAACAAAAATTTGGGAACAGAAAAAAGTAGTTGTACGCATTACATGTAAATTTGGATATATGTTTGAGGATTCGTTCAAATATTTAATCAGGGACAGTCGAGATTAAAGCGACAATTTTATGGTGACAGTGGGGATGTCTAAAACATGTCGGGAGATGAATATTTCACTAGAGTGATACAGACATAGTTTATCCGCACTGTCAACTTAGCGGATTAAATCCCGATGTAATTCCTGATGTGAAATTTTCCGGAGAAGTTACGATCAGCTCTGAAATGCGCCAGTGATTAAATTTTTAATATATATAAAGATTGTTGTATATTGTGCTTCTGTATAATGCTTGCTTTACCGCAAAAATCAGATAGAGCTTTAGAAAAACACTGTAAAAGATTTAGTAAAGCTTGACATTTAAGTATACCATAATATAATGGATATGTGTGATACAAAATAAAAATATTATTGATATTCTTTTAGAAATGTATTATTATAAAATATTATAAAGACTCTAAAGAAAAAAGCTGCACTCTTTTATGAGTCATATACGTGAATATGATATTTTTCTCATAGGGATGAGTAATATACGTACATATATGAAAGGGAGGAGCGATGCTAACATGCTAACATGCCGAAACGAACAGCGAATACTTGACACCCCTGTGACTCCTCCGCTTCTCATCTTCTTTTCCCATGTCGTTTTCACTTTCCCTCAAATCTTTCTTTCTTTTCAGAAATATCGATTTTTAGTATAATTTCTCTTTTACCAAAAAACTTTGTTTTCTTTATAATAAGTTTAAAATAATTATCATTGGGTAATATTAATGACATATTCTCTTCTAAATATGTGTCTGTGTTAAACGTATCGAGAGTACAATATACGTAACGTAATTTGATTTATACAGCTGTGATCTCTATTAAGCGTGTACTTTGTATATGGACTTCAGAGTATGGTAAATCACGAGGGTGTAGCATCGGGTGCGCTCCCATGAGATATAATAATATAATCGCGCCCCAAAGTACCAAGTTTGACACCGCCAATGTCGGACGAGCTTCAGAAATAATTAACAGCCTACCTCCGTGTCTCTTAGCTTGACTGGCATCATCGGTCGTTGAGAAACATAATGTCTCTTCATCTACAGATGAAATTTTCTAATGCAATAAATAATTTAATTAATTCTTCTGCAGACATAGATGCGAGAAAGTAACGCGTTTTTTTAAATTACTGTAATTGCGGAAATTTGTACACAAAAAAAGAGTACAAGATAATTTTACTCCAACATTTTTTAATTATTTTCCCAAAGTTAATTATTAGAATTTTCTAAATTAATGAAGATATAATCATGACAATATATATATATATATGTGTAACATAATTTATTACACGTAGATTTTCAAGTAAGTGTATCTACGATAATATTTCACTTAAAAGTTACCAAGATGTGGAGTCTCTTGAATATTCGAAATATATACACATAAGTAATTAGGAACTCATTATGCCTCATCTTCGTAAAGTACAAATAGTTCTTCTCGAAGACCACACATTCTCGGAGATTGCTTTATAACAAAGAGATAACAACCACCCTCATAGGCGTGACAACTCACGTGTCTGCCCACGCAGTAACCCGTGCATACACGTGAAACCGAGCACGTGAATAGGGGAGCAGGCTTTGATTCGGATTTTCGAGCGACTCTGCGAGAACTTTACGAAGAGGACAACGAGGGTTGGTGGTGCTCTCCGCGTGTAGAAGACCTCGGGGAAATCCTAATATTTTAACCAGCGCGGCGGCGAGGTATGAAAGGACCCGCGCAAGCAGAGCACTAAAAGGGAAATGGGGTGTTGTGCCGAGTCATCCCTGCGTCTACCCTCGTACGAGCGTCTACATACGTACATATCTGTATGCGGTACCCCTGGAGAGAAGTACTTGCAATTAACGCGGTAAGACTTGACTATTGCAAAGGGTAAGCCGTTCCTTCGCCCTCCTCGGGGTTCTTTCGGTTCCGATTCTCATTTAAAGTAAGCTTGGTGGAGACGAGCCGGAATTTGTGCTCAGTTATTCGTCGATGATACATATATAATTTTTTACACCTGTAACGTACGTATATAATTATACTATCAGTGACATAATGCTGTTTGTTATATTAAAAAATATTTTACACGCAAAACATCCTTGCTACGCTTATAAATGATCTTTATCTTTGCAACGAGCGTATTTCTCGATACGCTCATTCGAGAGTGGATTTCTTTCCCCATACCGGAAATTGACTGTCCATTGTGCTACTAAGTGCATATCCGTGTGAAATCCCAGTGGTACAGTCATCTCGAATTTTCGGATATATTCTCATGTAAAACGATCGGTCGCCGTGACGAATAGAGTTTGTTGGTGCATTGCTTACAATTGTAGCATCGACGATTTTATACGGAAAGACCGCTTGTTTATGTAAATCGCTATAAAATATATAGTGTCGTACATAAAATCAGTAAGTAAAATTCACGATTTTTTATCCCAGTGACAAGAATGATAAGTAACTTAATATTAGTATTATAGTAAAAAATAGAAAAATATGTACGTATGTAAAAAAATAATTTTTATAATCATATAAATATATTACATAAAATATGATAGTAAAATTTCTTATTCACGATTTCAAGTTTCGACACGTTTGACGAAACTTGCACGTAGAAGGAATAAAATATTTCGATATCAGCCGTGCCGATGTATTTTCAAACTTATTACATTTGACTCAAATAAAAATGTGAAGAAAAAGCAGTTTCTTAGTGTTTCTCAGTGTTGATAACGTAACGATTATAGGAGCACGTGCGTGCAAAGTTATTGAATGTTTCCGCAGAGCAATTTCGTTCGATTATATCTCAGCCGATATATCTCGCATTTCCCCAATCTTTCTCTTCTTTCTTCCATTCGATTACGTGTTCCGGTAGAAAAATGGCAATGACGGTATCATATTCCCGGCTATTTGATAGACCATTCACAGGAATATTCTCCGTCGATAAAAGTTATCTCACCGTTTTATTCTACGATCAGGCTCATTTTGGCGTTCTTCTTATCGTGCCATTTAATAAATTTGTATCTTGTAGAAATCAATGAAATCTCGCGTATATTTATATTCTATCATTTTTGTATCATCTCTTTTTATTGAACCATACTTTGCAATTTATAAAATAGAGGAATATTATAAATTAGAAATTTTTCTCGGAAAAAGGGAATATACTTGTTAATGGCCAACGATAATAGCATAGTATGTCCAAGTCTAATCATAATTTGATAGCTATCTCTCCAGCAGTCTACTTTCTACATGGCAAAAAATGGCTGAAAAGAAGAAAAAAAGAAGAAGGATTCGGCTACTTCTGCTGACATAATGTTCATTCTTGGAACCGCTTGCAATTCTTCTGCTTTCAGCATGGAGGAGACGCCTCTCGGGCACCGCAAAACTGTCATCGAGTGAATAGAAAGCTCGAATAGAGCTCTACGATCGTTCCTTCTTCAATCTGAATCCTTTCACTTTTCAACCCAGTTTCCATTGTTAGACTACTAGCCTGTGTTCCTGTCACGCTTGCTAATTACCGAACTGTCTGTATAATTAGTACTTATCATTTTTTTTCAATTTCTTAAAATCATCGTGCCTTATCTTGTCTACAATTAGATATACATATAATAAATAATGAATTAGCTCATATATACTATATATTTAATAAATTATATTAAAACATGTGACACACACACACACACACACACACATATATATATATATATATATATATATAAAGCAAAAAAATTTGTATTTACGTGTCTATTTTACCTTTCGTATACACTTGTACGTTTATTTGTGTGTATTCATGGAAAAATTCTTGGAATGACGTAGGTATATATAAAGAATGATTAATACAAATCCTTGACGCTCCTTGGTCATCGTTTACAAGCACTTTGTTTCTTTCTTAGTTTACCTTCAAGCGGAATAAATCGTGGGCGTAAATTCGTCTCAAATCATTCTTACTCGTTTTCATGAGAAAATAGCATAAATGTATATTTATGAAATGGCGCGATTTCGTAAATAACTATACGTCCAAATGTTATAAAATATTATAAATATTTTTCTGTGCGAATGTACGAGTATAATAATTTAAATGTATATTGTATTAAAAAATTAAAATATTAAAATTAAATGTATACATAATTTATTTGGAATACAATAAAAAGTAGAAAATAGAGAACAAGATCTTGCGAAATGTGTATCTTAAAAAAAAAAAAAATAGTAAACATTCTTTTCAATACAAATAGAAATGTCTTTCAATACGCAACGCGCTCGCGGCAAGAAATAAATAAATTAACATTTAAAATGTAGATCAACGTGATGCAGTAGCATAAATAAACTACAAAAATCGAACTTTCACGCGTTCTCTCATGCGAGAGAGGAGAGCGAAAGGTACGTGACGATGGAGATCTGTAAATCTGTTGTTCATTGCTCTTTCTCTCTTTCCTTTCTTCGATCTAATAATAAGTTTCTCATTTTATCTCTTCCTCGTTATTATCTCTGATTATCTGCGCGCGTCTCCTTTGCGCTACGTGGATTTACTACAATCGTAGAGCCGCGATCTCTTTTGTATTACGTCAATTCTCTTATCCATAGTTTCCCCACTCACGACAAGTGTTTTCATTTGCTTTGGTCCACGGTAAACGAGCGCCGAGCGAGTAGTAGTGCCGCATCAGGTATTGCCGCGTAAGGTATTTCTCGCGAATCTGCGCGTATTTATTATTCAAAGGATTTTCTCGGGATTGTTATTTTTAAAGGATTTTTTTACTATCACTACTTGACAGCTGCCGACCGCAGCGAGACAGGACATGAGGACTTTTTCGACCATCATTTTTTGCGTCATCACCATGATCGCTGCGGTGCATGCCAAGCCAACGATCTACAAAAAGAACCAAGATAATGTATTCGAGCCAGGTAAGCGGAAAATCTGCGATTCATTCAAGAGCATCGCAGATTTAAATCGGTAAAAAAAAAACGCGTTCGAATATTTTGCAAACAGATTTAAATATTCTTCTGTCCTCCGCTTATCCTCGCTTTTCGCTTGGAAGAGGAAAAAGGAGATTGCGTGTGTCTTCTTTGAATATTTCTTAATTACGAAATTTGAATTCTTCTTAGCGGACGAAGAATAATTTGTCCCTGTGATGAAAATAGAAATCGGAGCGAAAATCAGATGCATTAGGAGAGTGGCAGAAGTGTAAACGAAACTTCTAGAGGGCGAAAATTGGAATAATGAAATGTAAAAGAAGCACTTACGCTTCTTTTACATTTTGATGTTTCAATTTTCGTCTCCTAGAAGTATCGTTTACGCTTCTGCTACTCTCCCATTACATTCGATTTACGCTCTGATTTTTATTTTTATCAAGGGTGTCGCTGGCACGTGTGCAAAAATTGCACGTTTTTCCAATACATATCATCCATCTACATCTCATAGCATCATTGTATAGCAATTTTTCCCTCTTAAAACAATAATATAAAAAAAAATGGATCCTTTATTTTACACACTAAAAATTGCACGTGAACAAAATTGTGCTGCTGGATGAGTTTTTCAATTTTGCCAAAGTATCGATCCTTTCAATTTGCGATTTTTACAACGTGTGAAACATACGTTGTCATTTCAGAAAACCAAGTGAATAAATTTTATCCTGCATACCGATGTAACGAAATGTCAATACGGTCACACATAACGTCTTAACAATGTTCAAAAAAATATCTATTTCAATTTGAAAGTATAGTTTGCTTTTTTCAGACAAGAGAACTTAAGTAACGCACAGAAAAATGTCTACGCAGAAGAAACTTTCACTTTGATAATCAGAGTCTAAGAATCTAATTAACCACGCTAATTAACACGGACATTGCACGTCCTTATTTCTTTTGCGCTGCGCTTGTTTCTTCTATACACATCGACCGCTTCGTGCATGAGTCGATGATAAATGTATGTTAACAAAAAGGCAAGATCCAAGGCGAAATGTTACTGGCCATATAAAGAGCGATCTCTCTCTCGAGAATTCCGAATTCGCGCGAACCGATATTCGACAGGTGAATGGAACGAAACGATGATGTCAGCCAGGTAACGCGTAGGTTTCCGACTATCAGGTTCACTACATCATTTTAACAATCAGGTCCACTACGTACGTATGCATATCGCGTTAATAACATGCATTTCTAGCTGTATTTTTCGAAGTTTTTTTTTGTCTCTATATATATTACGCATGGCAGGAGCACAGAGAGTGATATGTCTTTTCTAATCTTTCTCGCTGCCGGCGCGAACGGTTGGAAAGGCGAATCGCTAAATAAAGTAAGACGCCCACGCGTAAAAGGTGTTAATAGAAGTTACATATATGTCGTCCTTGAATTGTCGTTACAACGCGAGAGAGAGAGGATCGACGGGGAAGAGGAGTAGAGACGATGCGTTTCTCAGCAACCAAGTGCAATCGTCGCTCGAGTGAACAATTCGAAAGGATTTCTCTGTGGTAGAATACTGTAGGTGTATACACTTGAATTCATTCTAGTGTGAACAGATGCCGCTATTATAATGTACATTATAGTGTACGTAAACGAGATTTGTGTCTTATAGATCAGATGCGAATGTCACCGAAGATTATACATATTATATGAAATGTATGACTATATATTACATTATGCTCGCTCGCACCGTTACTGTAATTAAATTCAATATAGATATTCAATTCATATATATATATATATATA